TCAGAAGGATCGTGTAGCTCACTCAGGGTGATGGTAACACAGCACGTGAGTGTTAGAGCCAGAATCTGGACTCAGGTCCATCTTCTCAGAAAGTTCATTCCCGCTGCACAGTTCTATGCCTCTCTGCTACACTAACAAGAATCCTAAAGGAGCAGCTAACAACATCAGGCATCATGCTAGCTTACGTGACTAAATCACACGAATTAGCCCATCTAACACTCACAACAACCCTAGGTACTCTTATTACATTTGGGTGAAGAAACTGAGGCTTGAGAAGGTGAAATAAATCTTCCAAGGCTGAGTAGAAGGTAGGTCGTAGAAGCTGAATCCAAACTCAGGAAACCTGGGCTCTTGGCCACTATGTGATACTGCCTCCCATCCTACGGTAGAAGAATGTCAAGAGACTCAGAGGCTAAGAAGGAAGCCAGAACCAGGGTTAAAATGGCTTGATGGGTCAGGAAAAGGAGTTTGAATCTTTTTGTGAAAAGTCATCATCAGATGGTCAAAGGCAAGGGAGTGAGGGAACAGCAAGTGCATTCTGGGAACATCTACCAATTTCCTCATCCATAAAATAAATAATCAGACTAGATAATCTCTAAACTCCTTTTAGTTCTGAAGCACACTATATTATTGCAGTTTGTATCATTTCCTTTCTTCCAACCTCCCGGTGGCTTCCCTGCACAATTAGTATAAAATCCTTCCCTGGGAGCAGGGTCTGAAAGGCTCTGCAGGTAGCTGCCCCTGCCTGCCTCTGACTTCACCTCCTTGTCTTCTTTTCCTCGATCACAGTGCTCCCATCACAACTTTTTCTGTTCTAGAAATGTCCTTCATCAGGGCCTTTACATTTACTTTTTCCTCTGCTTGAAATGTCCTTCCCCAGATCTTTCCTTAATGGTTCCAGAAATGCCACTGCTTTCAATAGGTCTACCATAACCACTGCACCTACAATAACATCCACCCCGTTACTCATTACCTCACTGGAAATTCACTTTTCTTGTTGCTTATTCATTTATTATATTCTATCCCCATCCATCCCCATGTAAGCTCCACGAAGGCAGGGACTCTGTAGATCTGGTGCATGGCTGCAGCTCGTGTGCTGCAGCCTGGCACATAACAGTACTTGACTGAGTTATTGCATGAATGAATGGATAGATGACTACAGTTTTTACAGCCTACATAGTACCTAAAAATAGTAAACACATAACAGGAGTTCAGAAAACATATAATAGTAGTAATGATAACTAGGATTTATCAAGTTCTAAATATTGGCACTGTGCTAAATCTTTTATACAAATTATGTACATTAGTCCTTGCCTACTCTAGCAGGTGGGTAATTTTATTATCCTAGTTTTTCAGATGAGGAAATTGAATCTTTGCAAGACCAAGCAATGTGCTCAAGGTCAGAGTGCTAGTAAATTAGCCCAGATTCAAAACCAAGTCTAATTTCAGCACAATGTTATTTGTTAACCGACTGGCTTCTGTACAGAGCAACTGCTATTGCCTCCATTTGGATTAGTGACTTCATAATTTCAAACAGCATTACTTGGGTAGTTACTAGTTGTGTCTGGGGGGTCATGACAGATAAAAGTCATAGATACCTAGGATTCGGAGGTGAATAATGTGATACAGTTCCCAACCTCAGTTGGCTCAGTTTAATAAGAAAAACAAATATGCAAGTGTGCTAGAATAGACTTCTCCATAACCCAAACACTCCTCCCTCCTCCCACAAAAAGCGGCATGCTGCGGAAAGCTTGTTCTTCTTGTTTCCCTGAACCTTGCCCAGGTATTTAATTTTGCATTCATTACATTATATTCTAATGGTTTAGCACTGTCTGGGGTGAACTGAATAGCCACCATTTACTGAGTGCCTTGATGTAGCAGGTGATTTATACATAGTCTCTAATTGAATCCTTACAATAACCCTGAGGTGGGTGTCATTATTCCTACTTCACAAATGAGCAGCCAGCAGCTTCTTGGGGTGGTGGATTACAACTTGATGATCATAATAGTGTCTGATTAGAATGTGGTATTGGAAATACTTGGATGGATGAATATGTGTGCAAAGACCTACAGGATCTCCAAGAAGGGATTGGCTCTTAGCCTCCATAGATATTTACTTGAAAACTATGATTGTAACAAACATGAGACTAGTTAACTTTTTATTATCTTATTAGTTCTGTAGTTAAATGTTCAATAAACTATGTATATTTCACCTTGTAAAATATATTAACAATATCTTTGAGGGGGGAAAAGCAAATACTTTTCCATTTTATTTTATATTTTTAGCAAGATTAATATGTTAGAAGCCTTTTTATTATGATAATTAGAGCATGTACTTCAAGATTTTTATATTATATTGCCCTGATCTATAGCCTGCCATTTCTTCCTCCTGGGGCATGAAAAAAGTGCCTTTCTTCAGGTACTGTACTGTTTCTTTATTTAGAATTATTCTTAAATGAACAAGTCTTTCCCTCTAGTAGAAACATGGGGACAGGATAATTAATATTTTTTATATTTAAAAATCCAATCTTAGAGTAGTCTTTTGAACATAACTGAATTATGACTGCCTGCTAAGAATGCCCTCAGTAAAATAAAGTTACATTCTGAATGTATCTACATGAAGGCACAAAGCCATCTCCAGCACTGAAAAAAAAATGGACAGAAAAAAGTATTGGCAATCACTGTAATAAAAAACGTTAATAAAAAAATGTAGATCTCTGCTGAATATCCAAAGGTGAGATATATTTTCTGCCCTGCATTGAGCATGTGACATTCTCCCCAAGCACAGCTCTGTGGGGAGGGCCTGCTCCACTGAAAATGAGTTCATTTTCTAGAAGTGAGAGAGAAGGGAGGAACTCACTTGAATAATAAGAATCTATTTTCTGAACTGCAGTTTGGTGGTGTTTGAAGTTTTAGAGTTATTTAATAATCAACATATACTCATTACTTCCATGTTAGTAAAGCCACAATCCAGCTCCACAGAAAATGAGAGAGACACAAGGCTTCCAGCAGATCTGAGAGCCTAGCTACCTTCACAGAATCTTTAGAACCCACTTTACATTCATAGTCTTAGTATTCAACTCTTAGCACTTACCAACTTTACATCCCCAGGGCCTAGTGAAGAGTCTCGTAGAAACTGCAAGGCCCTCTCCTTTTGAATCAAGTAAATATTTCAAAATTATGCAAAGAATCAAAATTATTTTACTGGGCTCCACAAGAGACTAGGCAGCTACAGAGGCATAAATAAAAGGTTCTTTGTAACTACAAACTACGTTTTCTGATGTTACTAGAAATCAAAAAGAGCTCATTGCCTAAGAATTCACGGTGACATCAACCAGAAGACCCCAACACAAAGAGGTATATACACTTTTCTGGAGACTTAGGACAAAAACAAGTAAATCTAAATATGAATCATATTTGTTTGTGTGGAATTGACTGAAATAAATAGTAAATAATGATTTTGAGATCAACATTACAAAAATTTACACTAATATTATAATTTATCCTTTTATTTATCTATAAGAGTAATATGATGTTAAGGCTGATAGAACTGTGTAAAACTGTGTCCTGCTGCCCCAATTTTAACTCTAATTCTATGCTCTCAAAGATCACAGAGATCCACAGGACAGAAAATCCTTCTCCACTTTTTGTGGCAAAGTCCCCTGAGGGAAATGAATTCTGTCCCCACCTCAAAACAGTCCTGAGTTACCCATTAGGTACAGGAAAAACAGTGACTCAGGCTCACAACACTTTTCAATATCCATGAAAATATTTTCTTTTAAAATCAGAAGAAAAAATTGAACATTTAGATCAAAGAAAATTTTAAATATATAATATTAAGGTATTAATCTTTATATCAACACAGCCATAAATACCTGTATGTGTGTGTGAGCTTGTGTGTGTGTGTATGTTTATGAAGAAGGGACCCATAAAGGCAAAATGCCTAGGGCCCAGGAAAGCTATAATGCTGCCTTGTCTCAAAAATATCCTGTCTTAAATTTCTTTCAATTGGTTTTTAGGTATGTCAGATGCCAAGTTTCCTTTGTCGGCCAAGGAAATTCTCATCTTTTTGCAAGAAATTCTTTCTTTTACCCAATTCCTGTTAGAAAAGTGATTCTTTAGAAGTTTTGATTGCTTTAAATCAATATGTACTCAACTAGGAAGTCTCTCCCGCAAAGTTAATTTTTTAAAGAGAAAAAAGAAGGTAGGAGGAGATGAGCACTTTATATGAGACCTTGACAGCTCTCAAGGAAATGCATTCTCCCTTGCTCGCCTCAGTTTGGACTTATGCAAAAGACTCTCTCCTCTTTCTTGATTTATTCCACGGCCTTCCAGCAGGGGGAGCGTGGTTCTCAGCCCTAAGCGGCTCGCTCCCCAGCGCCTCAAGGGACCGTATCCCTATTTGCCCCAAGGTCATAGCTCCTAACCGAGCTTGCCGGCCCAGGGCCGGGGATACCGGTCAGCAACCCTCCGGGCTGGAGACTTCGGCGCGGGTGGGGCCGATGGGGCTGGGCGGGAGGGCTCCGAGGCCAAGGATGCGATCACAAAGGGGACAGGGGATGAGAGGCACCGGGCCCGGGTCCCGAGCTGTCAGCTCTGCCGCCAGCCTCAGCGCCCCGGAGGGGGATGGGGTGCACGTAGACGCTCCGCAGCCCAGACCAACCCAGGAGCCCAGGAGCAGCTGTCGCTGCCGCCGCCACGCGCGCAGAGAGCTCGGAGCCTCTTGGCTGCCCAGGGACCGGGGACCCGGGCCGCGGGCCGAGGGAGCCGGGCATTGGGAGAGGAGCTCTTGAACCTGGCCGAGCGCCCGCCGGGAGGGCGTTCTCCCCGCCCCCGGAGCCTCTCCAGCCCGGCCCGCCCCGAGCGCGGGGAGATCACCTCCGCCTGTCATCTCCTCCCCGCGTCGCCCAGGTCCACCCGGGGCCCCCTCCCCCGGGCCGCCCCCAAGCACGAAGTTGGCGGGAGCCTTTTAAAACCTGGCTACGGCGCGACCCGCGGACACACGTTGCAGGCGCCAGAGCAGCCGCCGCTTAGATCCGCGCCAACTCCTCTGCCCGGACCTACGGCGCGACCATGTCCCATCACTGGGGATACGGCAAGCACAACGGTGAGTGCGGGCGGCGGGCTGCGCGGCGCGCCGCCCGGGGCCCCGGTACCCGCAGCGCCCGCACCTACTGTTTACCGCTGCCGTCCGGAGCACCCGAGGCTCAGGTGCGCCTCCGGCGCCCGCCCCGCCCGCCGCTCCCAGGCACGGGATGACCGCAGCATAGAGCCCGAGACCACCGTCGAGGAATCCCTGCGTCCCGCTGCGGCGCGCAGGGCCCGGGGAAAGGGGTGCCGCAGCCGCAGCCGCGGGACACACGGACAGCCACTCCAGGGTCACAAGCCGGAGACCATCCTATCCCGACCCAGGAATAAACTAGGAAGGGTTGTAAGGAAACATTTTAGTTGTTGATCGCAGGGAAATTAGGGAACCCCCTTCCACCCCCCCCACCCCCCCAGCAACTTCATCCTCAGCACCACCTGTGGCTAAGACTCTCAGCACGAACTGTTGCGGGGCATTTTCTTGGGCTGGTCTGAATCCTTTGCGCTGATTTCTGAGTAGGCTAATTACTTCGTCTCTCGACTTCTTATGTTAGGAGGTCACCAGGAACCCGGTTTTATCAGGGCCGCAGATCTGGGTTCTCCCGGGCCAGAAAATGCAAGGGAAAGATGTGTCTGGCGCATCTTTGAACATCTTTAGGGGCTTGGGGATCCCCAGGTCATGAGGATCCTGACCATTAAGGGAGGGGTACCCGGGCCTGAGCAGTTGACGCTGTCCTTACATCTAGTCCGAGGACTAGAAGAAGGAATTCCGATCTGCTGGAGTGTCCTAAGTGAGCTTGTATATCCCAAATCCTAATCACAAACCCAGTGTCAGTTGCTTAATTTCAGTAAAAGGAGCATAAAAAATGGCTAATATTTATATGGCACTCACTACTTCTTCTAAAAGCTTTACATGTATTGATCCTAATTCTCACACCAACCTCTATAAGCTAGATGTTATTATTACCCCCTAATACAAATGAGAAAACTAAGGCACAGACTGAATGTTTTCCCAAAGGTTATTCAGCTGTTCGGTGGTGCCGCCAAAACTGGAGCTGAGCAGTTTGGCTCCAGAGTCATTGCCCTTTTCTAGGGATCTGCATGTGCCCTTCCCCACATTGGGGGGTTCACACGTCTGTTCTCAAACCCAGGACCCGAGCAATGGCATAAGGACTTCCCCATCGCCAAGGGAGAGCGCCAGTCCCCTGTTGACATCCACACCCAGGCAGCCGTTCATGACCCTACCCTGAAGCCTCTGTCTCTTCGCTATGAGCAAGCGACTTCCCGGAGAATTATCAACAACGGTCACTCTTTCAATGTGGAGTTTGATGACTCCCAGGACAAAGCAGGTCAGTGTTTAAAAAATAACTTGTGCAGTTCAGCCAGTAGCTGTTTTCCCAGCTGAATATGAGCAGCAGCAGGACCCCTGTAATACTACACTCTGATAATCTTCATTAGGTTGCAGTCTCTGAGGAGTAGGCTAATTACTTTGAAGTGGCAGGGCTGTCTCTCCCTGCAAAATTCCTGGTTTCTATGTAGGGCATTGAATAACTGTGATATGCCTGGGAAAAGTCACAAAAGGCAAGGTGCCCTGGCAACAGAGATCAGCAAAGATGAGATTTGCAAAAATTGAACTTTTAAGACTAAAATATTTGTTTCCCAGAATTGATGCCTATCCAAGAAAAAGCACATCCTAGGGTGATCTGCAAGGTAGCAGTGAGAAGAGTGATGAAAACCTAATACTGTAAAATCCTGAAATTCTTGGAAACATTGTATTTACAAATATTTTCTCAGCATTGGGCTAGTGTGATAAAGGTGGTTGTGTATCTTGGTATCCACCCAGAAATTCATTTCACAAAGGAAAATATTTTAGAGTTGGTTGGACATACCTGGTCCATTACTGACAAAACCAATTACCATAATTTATTTGTAGTGAGGCTGTTTACAGAACACCCTTTGAATTGTTCCTTTTTTCTTGCTTAGAAATAGGAGAACAATCCCCTTGATTTAGTTGCCAGTGTCCTATTTTCCTGAGTGCTTTCCTCTGAAGGGCACTGAGTGAATGGAGCTACAAACACATTATGTGTGGTGGTGTGGGAGTCTGGGGTTGGGGGGCAGGGAGCATTGGGGCAAAATGAGGGAAGATAGAGACAACATTCAATAACTCTGTCAGAATGTTGGAGTAATGACCTATAATACTCACATGGTATATAAATGTAATTATAGTCATTATAATAGAGTTGACTATTCTCTTTCAGTAGCTATCCCAAGTATTCAGTACAGTTTTGAAAAAATTCTTCCTTTCTTCCCTCTTGGGAGTGATAGTAACTTAACCTAAGTTTTTGTTTTCTTAACTGTAAAATTGGAGTAGCAGTATCTATTACAGAGGAAGGATTGAATAGGACAGACATATAAAACCTACTGCCTGGCACATAACAATTCCTCAATAAATGACCATTGCTCTTGTCAGGTCTACACACCATTTGATTGCCTTTATTAGGCAATTGCTGTAGCTATTGCACCTCTGATAAGTTTTTTTGTTTTTTTTTTGTTTGTTTTTTTTTGATAAGTTTTTTGAATTAAGTTTTTAATTAGCTTTAAAATTACTTCCCATCACTTGATGGCATTTTAAAATCTTACTTTTATATTGTCCCAAACATGCCATTTATTATATTAAACTATGTATTGATTTTATATATGACATTATTACATAGTAATATGTCTTACCATGAATATGTCAAGTTCTGATGGATTTCTACATAAGCAGGAACTGATGAGAGCTAGCCACCTTTGTCTAACTACTGGTGAATAACACATACATTACTAAAGCAACTGGCCATGTTTAGATTGTGAAACAGATGAAAATCAAGTGGTTCAGATAGAGGCTCAAACCCATGTCTTTAGAGACAGAGGTATTATTCACCTAGTTTTATGCAAAAAAACAAAATTCTTACGAATACCACTTATAAGTAACACAAGCTAGGCATCTTGAGGGCAGGATGGAGTCCTGGTCCCTCTCCTGCATCCTCAGAGGCCATGATGGCGATACCTGAAGTAGAAAGACATAGAAATAATAGATGCTGACAGTCACTTTGTTAAGTGCAACAAGGAAGTATTCCAAGGAAATATGGAAAGCAGGTTTGGAGTTGGCCTGAGCAAGTCAGAAAAGACTTTTCAGGGAGAATAAAATTTGTGGTTGAAGGATGAGGCTTGAAGGATTTCAGTTTCTTGGAGGAGACTCCAGGCAAAAGGAAGTAGGAAACATGGGGGACTTGAGAGAGCCAGGCAAGAGGTACAGTAAAAACAAGAGGAGTGAATGTTAGAAAGACTTGTTCTCCTTTAAATACGAAAGATTCCTTTGTACTTTTGCCCATACCTCTTCAACATTTGCAGTTGTTTTGATTAAACAGGAAGCATTTTTTTTTTCTAGAATACAGAATATATTAAATGTTGATGTTAAGAGAAAACACATCTACAGGATAGAAAAAAGAAAACAAAGTGAAACAAAACCAATCATACCATGCAGAGAAACACCCTTTAGACTTTTTTAAGATTCTAGACTCTCAAGTTAGAACAAATGGTAGAGATACTCTAGTCAAACCCACTTAAAATAAACATGAAGAAACAGAATGCTCAAGAGTTTAAGTTACTTGCTAATCATCTCCTTCCTAGTTTGTTGGAATGAGACTAAATGGCAACCACTTAAAAACAGAAATTGAATAAGAATCTTTGAAGGACCATCATAGTTAATATTTAGTGTGTTTGTACTTGTACCATGTTTTTAAAAACTGATATACTTTTCTGTTCACTTAAGTCAAAAAATAATTTTGGTCACTCAGTTTTTTAAAATGGACAGTTTATCATATCTTTTTGTTAGGAATTATTTTCATGGTGTTAACATTTTTAGATATCCTTTATTTTCTTTAGTTAAATGCTTTAGTTCATTTACTTCCCCCCTCCACCCCCAGTGAGATTTCAGTCTTCTAGAACTTCTCACAGACTCAGATTTTCAGATGTATTCTAAATGTTATCTTATACCCGAACTTAAATACTTGGGTATAAGGAACTGAACTGGTAGAATTTATTGCTATGTTTAAGCTTGAGAGAAATCTTTTTAAATGTGGAGTTAATAGGCTTTAACTAGAAGCTTGGGTTAAAGCTCTCATCAATCTTCTAAATTCCTTTAAAAATAAACCACCTTAAATTAATGAAAAATTGTTAATCCTGTTAGGTTTTATTTTTTTAATTATTAAAAAATAAATCTTCCTGCTTGAGATCTTTTATTAGATGCTTCATCTGGGATAAAAGAATAGTAGTCAAATTGTTAACTCCTGCTAACTTATTAACTTTTATTAATGAGTTTAAAACTCTCCTGCTTTATAGCAAAGTTAGAGGCAAATATCATTGAAAAACCAATGTTCGAATTATTGGGCCAACCCATATACAACTCTCACATCACTTCTGCTTTTAGAAATTGGAATATTTTTACCTGTTTTTATTATTTTAAGAAAGAGAAGGAAGGAAGCTGAGTTCACCTGTGCTCATTTCAAGCAAATCATTGTTTGTATGATATAATGGATCGTCATACAAGAGTCTGGCTTGATTTTCAGGGACTTGCTTTTGAAGCTTTAACATTTTCCTTTTACAAACAATTATAAGTTAAAAGGAAACAGAACAACAAAAAAATGGAAGGGCTTGTCCTGCCTACTGCTAATGGTGTGAGCAGAACCCTAAGCTTCTGTAAAACTGACAAAAGCATTCTAGACACTGTATTTAATAATGTTCATGTCAAAGAGTTACTTTTTTTTTACTCTCGTACAATTGCCATAAACCTGAAACTGAAAATTTCTGTTCTCTTGAATCTTAATTGTGGTTACACTAGTGAAAGTGACAGCTAAACATTTCACTACATAAAAAGAAATGGAATGTGTGTGTCTATTTCTCAGATTTGTCTACACTGACATTTGTTTTTTTAACCTTAGTAGGTAGCCCTAGGATTATTGACCACTGCCGAAAAACCAAAACCGATTTAATAAATTTCAAATTATTCACCTGCTAGAAATGTGTTTTTAGTAGACTTATTAATTTACTTCATTAATAGGAAATCCCCTAAATTTTAGTTTTAAACTAAGGATTATTGGGAGTAGTTTATTTATATTTTGGATTTAGGAGAGATTATTGACATTCACTAAGGTCTTTAGTTTGTTATTTGTGCATCTTATATTAAGTAATAATGAAGTGATTACGAAGGAAAAAAATTTTTAACATTAAATTTTTAATTTGTACAAGTATCTAATTTATTTCAATATTACTGGAATGAATCTCTTACTTTTCACAAGTAATGTATAATTTACATAAGTAATATGTATAGGAAGACAGATTATAATATTACATTTAGTGCTTATTTTGTGTTTTATATATAGTATGTATAATTGATGGAAGACCATAAAAGTTAAACTCTTCTGGGGCTCTCAGTTTTGAGATTTGGATTTAAATTAAGTTTGGAGGAGTCTTGAACAAGACATTGAGTCTTTGAGTAGAAAACCCCATTTATGTATCTCTGTCACTTGTGGAAAACATTTCTGTGGTACAAGAGGTGATTGACTCTTCAGAGCCCCACTAACAGATTTTATAGAGGAAAAAATAAACAATTTTTTAAAAAGAATATCAGCAATTTCTGATATTCTTTAAAATTATTTTTGCATTAGAAAAACGGGTTGTATTTTAAACTGGGGTAGTTTAGAAAATGGCTTGGAGCAATCAAATTAAGTAAAAAAAATAAGTAGATCCAGAATATTGTGTAAGCTCCATCTTTAACCTTGTCTTTCCTATTTCTCAAATAAAAAGATGTATGCTACCTTTATTAGAGTTTATGGCAACTTATTATTATAACAATGTTTTGAGGGATTTCTTTGACTAAACTCCATGCTACGAATTTGCTGAGGAATGACCAATTAGTTGAAGAAGACCAGAAATGCTGCTTTTTGTAGCAATTAAACTTCAAGAATTTAATACCTTTCCTAATTACAGTGGGCTTCTACTCTACATAGCAACATAGTTTTTTTTTAACAGGAGTTCAAACAGGTATCTGGGAATAATAGATTAGCCCTGAAAGTGTTTAATCTTTGAACTTAGAGTGTTTCTTTCTTTTTTTTTTTTAGTATTAGAAAACCTTATTTAATAAAAGCTCATATACTCTTGCCTAATTCTAAATCTTTTCTGAAATAAGATCAGTTATCTCAGATGCTTACTATGGTTTTATTTAATTAATTTTGCCATTTGGTAGAATTAATGATGTTACAAATGGTTTTTATGATCAGCCAGTTAGTTAGTAGTTTAAAAAAGTTATTATAAAGGAATTAATTTTGGTATCAATTTACCTTATAAACATGTATTTTGTTTTAAGGGTATATATAATTATGAAAAATGGGAATTCCTTCATTTTGGAAAAAGTCTATTTTGGGGATATAAGGATAAATCTTTCCTTATCAGATTTAGAAAAACATTTTTACAATAAAAGTTAAGTTTCGAGAGATGTGATATTATCAGAATACATCCAAATTCATGTTTCTTAATAGATCTGTAATGTAATACCATTTCTAATTTGTTTTCTTTCTTTTTTTTAATTCTTTTCTTCTCCTGGCCTATTGTAAGGCAGATCTGGCAGCCAGAGGTTGTATCAGGAGCCATAGAAAGGCCTGACTGCTTAAGTATCTTCCAGCCAGCTTTATCTTTTCTTTGAATAGATGAATGGGTATTGCTACCATCTAAGCATATTTAGGTGAAGTTGAGCGAACAAACTTTTTGTACCGACTTTGTCCCTTGGTTTTACAAAGCCAAAATTAGTTTGGGCTCATTACTCTGTGGAATTATAAACCAAAGCTAATAAAATAGACTTACAGCAAAAGTTGTTCTAATCCCAGTTCTAGAGAAATAAAATTGAAGTAGTAGAACTAAACTAATTTTAAAAGCTTTTATCAGTTAAGTCCCATTAATACATATAAATTAGGTAAAAGGCTTTTTGGAGGGAATGGGGGAAACAGTGATTTCTTACTATTTTAATCCTCTCTTAAGACACAGCTCATTAATTATCTACAGATAGACTATAGTCTAAGAATGTGATTTCTAATATGGATTTAAGTATAATAAAATTACACTAATATCAGAACAGTAGAATCATGGGATGGTTATTAAAGTTAGAATTTCAAGAAAGCATTAGGCACTGCGTCTCACAGATGATCAGTCAATTTTTAGTGAAATAGTAAATAATTGGAGGTATCCATTCTACAGATGAGCAAATTAAGATCAGAAAGTCAAATAGAACATTTTAAGGGTATAAAGCTAATTAGTAGCAGCGACAATCTGCTGTGTAAGGAAAATTGTAAGCCTGTGTAAGGAAAAAGCCTGTGTAAGGAAAATTGATTTTATGTTGTTAAGCTCAAGGGAATGCTTATTGTTTCACAAATTCTGGTAAGAACTGGTATCAGAGGTTAGCAAGGCCGGCTGAAGGTCAGTCACTGGACCGTGGCAGAGGAGAGATTCCTCAGCTTGCAGGTGTGCAGCAGACCAGCACTGGCGAGTAGCTGTGGGCACTTCCTCACTGATTCACAGAGGAATTCATAGTTCCCCTGAAAATTTCCTCTCTCTGAACCTGAACCTGAACCTATGAGGAGGCCCAAAAAAAACCTAGAAGAGAAGTGCCACTGTGCTCAGAAAACAGATGGGAAAAGCATCCATCCTTCAGTCAACACAAGTGAGGAAAAAATAAAACAGTTGAAATGATCCTCTTCAGCTCTGTAGACTAAACCTGAGTCTAGATTGAATTTTCAGAGTGAAAATGTTGGTTCAGGCATAAATTTAGTACTATAAAATGGGATTAAAATTGTAATATTCAGTAGTGTGTGTTTCATGCGCATATGTATGAGTGTGTGTGTATGTAAATGTGTGTGTGTGTGTATATATATATATATATATTTTTTTTTTAATTTTAGTGCTAGAAGGAGGACCCCTCACTGGCACCTACAGGTTGATTCAGTTTCACTTTCACTGGGGTTCATCTGATGAGCAAGGTTCTGAGCATACTGTGGATAAAAAGAAATATGCTGCAGAGGTAAGATACACTTTTTTTCTTTCAAAAGCTTAATTTTGTAAACTCAAACCACCTCTTTTACAAAGGACCTTCACATTTGCTTTTTATAACTTTTATTTGTGATATTATGATTAATGCTGCAAAACTTTCTCTAAGACATCCATTTGCACGAAATTAATGAATTTAAATTGGAGGATCCTGTTTTAATGGAAGTCTAGAAATAAACTTTCTGTCTTTCCTCAAAAGTATGCAACTCTTTGTCTTAGAGTTGTTGAAGGAATCACTTGATATTATGCCAATTAGAATTTTATACAAAGTTTAGATTTAAAATTATCCACATTTTCACTTTCTTTAGTAACCTCTAGCTGTGAAGAAAAGATTGCTAGATAGCTGTGTAGGCTTTTATCATGTAAATCATTTGTTGTTTGTGGTTTTGTCTCCTACTTTAGCTCCACTTGGTTCATTGGAACACCAAGTACGGGGAATTTGGAAAAGCAGCGCAACAGCCTGACGGACTGGCTGTTTTGGGTATTTTTCTGAAGGTTAGTTGATGGCCCAATTCTTTTTATTCCCTGTTTTCAAAAAAGATTAACTGGACAGAATATTCATAACAAATAGGACATTCTACAAAGAGCCTAGGAAATGCCTTTGGCTCTGAAGTATTTTCAGGCTTATTTTCCCATGCATCTGCTAGTAGCAGTAGACATGGAGGACAAAATTGCAGAGGTATTTCATAGGTACCATTTGGATGTAAATGTGAAGGATATATACATGTGAAATGTGAAATGAGAAAAAGGCATATTTTGGATGAATACTAGTATTTTTTTTTCATTCAACCTTAAGCTAGATAATACTATTTTATGATAGTGCTAAATTAAGACCAAGTTTTGGAGAAGTGAAGGACAGTGACTCCATATTGGAGAATTCAGGCAACAAGAGTAGGACATACAGGCTGAGCTGCCCTCTGGATAGTTGTAAACCCAGTGGAGAAAGATCTGGGCTGCAGATTCATGGTTCTGGAAATCCTGTGTCAAGGTGGAAGCTACAAGTGTATATGAAATCATCCAAGGAAAGCATGAAGAGGGAGGATAAAACTGCTCAGCAAGCAACCCTAAGAAACTTCAAACTGTAAGGAAAGATGCTGATTAAATGACTAAAAACGAATACAGGAGTCAAGGGGAGATTTGGGAGGCTGGAGAGCAGGAGAAAAGCCAAAAGAGGGGAGAATTTTTAAAAGGAGGAAGACGATAGTGCAAAATCCTGCATGAAGTTTAAAGTAAGCACGTGAACAGTGCTCTTTACTTTGGCAGTTGGAGATCACTGGTGACATTTGAGAAGGTAATTTCAGGGGAACTACAGGGAAGAAGCAGAAGGAGGTTGTCAGTGAAAGAAGGGAAATCAAACTAAGACTGATGGGTGACGTATAGCAAATGGTGGGTTTTGGTTCGCTATATGGAGAAATTTTACCATAGAGCTGCCTTAATTAAAAGCTGGTGTAGTGCCAACTGGAATACACTATCTTGTCCCTTGTCTCTTTCTATAGATTGGTGATGCTAAACCAGGCCTCCAGAAAGTCGTTGATGTGCTGGATTCCATTAAAGCAAAGGTATAGTTGAATTTTTTGCCCCCTGAATAAGGTACCTATTTTCCATACCCCACTCATTTTTGAAAATTCTTTTGCTCAAATTGAGTAGTCTCGGTTTGACGTGTAGTGCTTAGATGAGCAGTTAATAAAGGTAAAATGTTGCTTATGCGTTTATTTAACTTACCTTTAACCCAAAGTTGATCCTAATGCTTGTATAATTTTAAAACTTGTATTTATTTAATCTTGCTTCCCATCATTTGAACATCCATGTGCAAGAGTCAGAGAAAATCATGATTGCAAGGAGGTTGAAAGATCATCTGGTCAAATTATTCACTCATTCATACAGCAGATATTTGCTGAGTACTTACTACATGCTGGTCACTTTGTTAATCTAGGAAATACAGTGGTGAACATGACAAGTCAAGTCATGCTTTGTGGAGATTTATATTCTATGACCTCTTTGAATTCATGTTTAAATCCGCTCCACAGCACAGTTGTGCTGAGGTCATGGAGCATCTGCTTATAAATACTACCATCAACAGTAGCAACCTAGCTTTATAAAACTCATCCTCAAATCGAAGCAGCATCTATCTTCTGAAATGCTCACCTGTTACCCTGAGCTTGACTCCCTTGATTCATATAGAATAAACCTGATCCTACAACACTAATTCAAAAAGATATATGCACTCCCTCATTCACTGGAGCATTATTTACAATTGCCAAGACAGAAACAGCCTAAGCATCCAGTAACAAATGTATAAAGAAAATGTGGTATATAGATAGATAGATATAATGGATTCAGCCATAAAAAAGAATGAAATCATGCCATTTGTGACAACATGGATGGACCTTGAGGGCATTAGGCTAAGTGAGATAAGTCAAAGAAAGAAAGACAAATACCATATGAACTCATAGTGGGATCTAAATAAATAAGCAAAACAAAACAAGCAAACAAACAAAAAACCAACTCAAACATACAGAGAATAGATTGGTGGTTGCCAGAGGTGGGGGTGAGGCCAAAATGAGTGAAAGGGGTCAAAAGGTACAAATTTTCGGTTATAAAATAAGTCGTGGGGATGACTTATAAATAAGTCAAAATAAGTACTATATTGTCTATAGTTAATAATACTGTATTGCCTACTTGAAAGTTGCTAGGAGTATATTTAAAAGTTCTTATCACAAGAAAAGAAAATTCTGTAACTATATATGTTGACAGGTGTTGACTTATTGTGGGTGATCATTTCACAACATATTCAAATATTGAATCTTTACATTATATTCCTGAAACTAATATAACATGTCAATTATACCTCAAAAAAAAAAAAAAAACAGAAACAAAGCAAAACCTGATCTTCCTTCCACGTGACCCTATTCTCTATCAGCCTTTTACCTACCCCCAGGCTAATTATCTTTAGTCCCCTTTAACTAGTCTTACATGACAGTTGTCTGTTTGCAGCAAACTTGTCACTCTTCCAGTAACTCTTTCCTGTTGCTTCTGTTGCTCTAAAAGCATGGTGTCCACAACTGAATACAGTTCTTCAGTTCTAACTAAGCCATCAAATAGGACAGCAAGACAATTACCTCCTCATCAGGGATACTATATATTTTCTGTTACAGCAACCTAAAATTGCATCATTTCAGTGGCAGCAATTTCACTTTAAATACTGTCTATGATCAGTTAATGACTTAAAGAAAAATATAAGGGATTATTTTAGAGCAGGGGTCCCCGACTCCCGGGCCACAGACAAGTACAAGTCCGTGGCCTGTTAGGAACTGGGCCGCACAGCAGGAGGTGAGTGGTGGGCAAGTAAGCAAAGTTTCATCTGTATTTACAGCCGCTCCCCATCGCTCACATTACCGCCTGAGCTCCACCTCCTGTCAGATCCGCGGCAGCATTAGATTCTCATAGGAGCACGAACCCTACTGTGAACTGCACATGCGAGGGATCTAGGTTGCACACTCTTTATGAGAATCTAATGCCTGATGATCTGAGGTGGAGCTGAGGCAGTGATACTAGCACTGGGGAGCGGCTGCAAATACAGATTATCATCAGCGGAGGGGTTTGACTGCACAGAGACCATAATAAATCAATTGCTTGCAGACTCATATCAAAACCCTATCAGTGGGTGTCAAGTGAAAACAAGCTCAGGGCTCCCACTGATTCTGCATTATGGTGAGTTGTATAATTATTTCATTATATATTACAATGTAATAAAGAAATAAAGTGCACAGTAAATGTAATGTGCTTGAATCGTCCCCAAACCGTTCCACCCCCTCCCCTGGTCCGTGGAAAAACTGTCTTCCACGAAACCAGCCAAAATGGTTGGGTACCTCTGTTTTAGAGGACAAGGTGAGAAAATGGATAGGTGAAATTAATAGTCAGGTTCTCTTGCTCATATCTGCCAATCTAAATTTCCATGTCAAATGTCTTCTGTTAATTTGTTTTATTCTGTTTTCTGGTGAACATGGAACTTCTCTTTAAAAAAAAATTGAAAGTTTTCTGGATACCAGAGGGGAATATTTCTGTTTCCTATTCTCTTGCCTCCCCGCTACTCTGATCATGTGACATTTTTAACACGTGTATTTCCTTGTTCCAGGGTAAGAGTGCCGACTTCACTAACTTTGATCCTCGTGGCCTCCTTCCTGAAAGCTTGGACTACTGGACCTACCCCGGTTCACTGACCACTCCTCCTCTCCTGGAAAGCGTGACCTGGCTTGTGCTCAAAGAACCTATCTCTGTTAGCAGTGAGCAGGTCTGTTTGCTAAAGTCAGGTGGAGCATTTAGTCCAGGCAGAAGGACTTGGCCTTTGGAGTCAGACAGACCTGGGCTTTAATCCTCCTCCTGCTGCTTCTAGCTGTGCAACTAGTGCCAACAACAGTGCTTAGCAGATATAATCAGCACTCAATAAGTATTTGTTGTTGTTAACTATAACCTTAGGCAGTTTTTTCTTTTTTACTCTAAAGTTGGATAAAATTGAAGATTATATGAGAAAGGTGTCTGTCACCTAATAAATGCTTTTTTGTAAGCTATGAAGAAACTGAGGCTGGGAACAAAGAGATTTTATATTCAAGGGTGCATAGGTATGGGTGATAATTCCCAGCCTACTGCTCACTCACCTAAGAGCTTACTGCAGTTTATTTATGTCAGAATACATTTCTGGATCCTGACAAAGGCAAGAGTCATCCCTTAGAGAAAATATGTCTATTAAAAGTCATTCCAGGTTGCTTTAGCAGCTTAGACCAGATACACATTTCCTATACAGTGTAGTTTGTGCTGTTCGAGTGATCAGTGCACTGCAGTGACAATGGTTGTGCATGTTACAGTAGTTGGCTTACATGAAGTTGACTTCCTGGGGGTGATCGAGGGAATATTAGTAGACCAAAGAGATCAGGTTCAAGGCTATTGATTCATGGGCAGCTACATTACTTCCCAAACCACCCTTCTTCATTTAGATCAAGTCATGCTTAAGGAAAGGGAAGTGCCACTTTGCAAAAACAACCTCAGAGAAGAATGAAACTGGTTGAGGGCTGCCTATGTCACATCACTGTGCCAGGAACTGACACAAATTTAAAAGGGAATCAAAATTAACCAATGCTAAGGATTTGAAATCCCAGCTTGGGCAGATTCATTCCTGTGTTTCTATAAATTTAAGTAGAGATGTCAGCCAATCATTTGGCCCCGGAATTTGCAGATCCTGAATCACTTCATCTAATTGTACAGATGCTGTCATTTATCTTCCCTGGGGTAGAAAACCAAACCTTAATTGGGATCTAGAATTGTTATTATTACTTTACATCTCAGAATTATTTTATAGGCTTTTGATGTTTGATTATAAAATTAAAAGAGGAAAAAACACAAGCTCACCGAAAATTTCCTTTCAAATGACAGCAAGATTTTGTGTGTATTTTATAGAAATTGATTTGTTGTATAAAAGCATATATATGTGATCTATATGTGATCATATATCTATTGGGAATCAAATTAAATTTTGAACATTGCAACATGGAACTGTTATTATTGGGGAATGTATTTCAAGATTTAACACAAACACATAATTGAATACTCCTGTGAAACTTTTATTTTTAATTTTTTCATCTTTGATTTTGTCTTTTAGTTATCGAAATTCTGTACCCTTAACTTCAACGCAGAGGGCGAACCTGAACACCTGATGGTGAACAACTGGCGTCCGACTCAGCCACTGAAAAACAGACAAATCAAAGCTTCCTTCAAATAAGATGGTCCCAGAGCCAGTGTCCAGTGAAGAGTCTTTGGGTTTCCCTTTAGCTAAGTGCAAGTCTACCTTGGTGAATTGGACCCTGGCTGCTTTGTATCTATCTGGTTTTCTAGACCCTTCTAGACCTGATGTGCTTACTATTAAAATGTGAAAACCTAGACCAATTGTCAGGCTTGACAGAATTGCTGTGACTGGTGCTTTGCTTATGGTAGTAGCCTTTTTGTAACAGAGAATAATATAAGGAGTAGGACAAAAGTACCTTGATTTTGTTCATAGCACGTGGGCTAATGAGCATTCACGATTGTTCACTAAAATGCTATTTTTAAAACATAAGAAAGTAGGATGATTGAATGCAAAGCCATATAATGAGATAAATTGAGCTGTGTAATATAAATCAGGTAAAATAGTCATGATCCTATGTAATGTAAATCAGATAAAATAAATGTTTGTGGTTCCAATATGGTAAATTAAAGAAAATTTTTAAATTCTTATATATTTGTAGCAATGTCACGTTAAATATGAATTATGTTGTAATTTAGTGACTTTTGAAATATAGGGATGTAAATGAAGTATTATCTGTAAAGATTGTTATAGCTGTGATATAGAGTATATTTCCATTTCAAATAATATATCATAACTTAATAAATATTGTATTTTAGATATATTCTCTAATAAAATCTGGAATTCTATTTTGGGTTTTTTATGTTATGCTGTGCAGTGGGTAATAGTGGAGGAGCAAATGTGTACTTTTATAATTCATATTAATTCACTGTTAATAATAAGCCATCATAATTGACTTTCTCATAATTGATGGAGTCTCCATAAAAGGAAAACCCCTGAAGGTCATTTATTATTTGCCAAGCACTGTTTTAAGTGACTTGTGAGCACTCACTCATGTGATCTCCATGAGGACTGATCCTGCAAAGGAGAGAGGAAGTGGTGATATGAACAGCAGAAGGGGGGTGGGGGGGGTGTCCTGAATCAACACATGCTCCCTGGAAAAACAATAAATAAAAATCCATTTTATTCAAAAAGGGAATCCAAGTGGTACCCAGAAGTAAAAGAGTCATTTGCATCTTAGGAAGGTAAATTACCCTATTACAGGTAGGAAGAAGAGTGGATAGATGAACTACCAATCTCCCACTACTATGGCTGTTTTGGATCTAGCTCCGTGCCAGGACCATGGGATGTTTGGCTAATGAGTTATTATGGGAAGCCAAATTTAACACATAACTCAGGTTCCACACTTGGAGGAAAAAAAACTCTTGGTTAGCAGAGATAGCAAACTCTCTAAACTCACTCTCACCTGCTTTCCTAAGGAACTAAGCTGAGTTTTCTGCAGAAGAAAGATCACAAGCTTTGGAGTTTGATGATTTGTTTTGAATCCCAGCTCTTCTCAACCTCTTGATCCTGAGTGTAAAAAGAGAATAACACCCAGGATATTCATAATTATATGGGGTAATGTCTGGTGTATAAGAGGTGGTCGAAAATAACACATTTTAAATGTGTTGTGTGTATGTGTGTGTGTGTGTGTGGGTATGAGTCTGTCAACTTAGTTTCCTTGGAACAAGGTTTCTCCTCTAATTTGTTGTTTATTGCTTTGAGTATGGAACACACAAAGCCAACCTTAAACAGAATCGTGTATGAAGTAACCCAAGAGGGAGGAGATACGGGGATGTATGTATATGTATAGCTGATCCACTTTGTTATACAGCAGAAATTAACACACCATTATAAAGCAATTATACTCCAATAAAGATGTTAAAAAAAATCCCTTATTTTTCAAATCAAAAAAAAAAAAAAGTAAATCTACTCCAGGTGAGTTGCGGAGGGCCTCTTCTAAATGCGAAGAGTTTAATTTGTGTATATTTTTACATATTGGTTTTCAGTTATATATGGAAGCAGAAACTTGTCAACAACTGAGTTCTATATATAGATGAATTATGATGTTCTTGGTGCCTAATAAATGATCTCTATATTCTGCAATGAAAAAATTTTATATCACTTTCAGTTGGGATTAAATGTAATCAGGAGACATTTTCTTGAATTTTTTTTGAGAAACAAAAACTTTCACAAATTATTCTAATTTATACCGGTGCTTTTCAGATGTTCCATCAAATATTCCTTAAAGCAGAGAAGAAATTCCTTAGGCACAGTTTGGAGCGGATCATTGTTTCTTTAAAGTCTCATGTTTTACTAAATTTACTCAAAATTTCCATTCTACTCTGTATTATAGCCATGTTCATTTTTTTTTTTTTTTTTTTTTGCGGTACGTGGGCCTCTCACTGTTGTGGCCTCTCCCGTTGCGGAGCACAAGCTCCGGACGCGCAGGCTCAGCGACCATGGTTCACGGGCCCAGCTGCTCTACGGCACGTGGGACCCTCCCGGACCGGGACACGAACCCATGTCCCCTGAACCGGCAGGCGGACTCTCAACCACTGCGCCATCAGGGAAGCCCAGCCATGTTCATTTTTAACATAAAATGTTTTAACTGGCTCATTACAATTAATAAAATTGGCACTGGAGCGGTGTTTATCCTGCAACTTATTGTCACCTCTGGTTATCAGGTGTACCTGCTGGGACCCAGGTAGCCCCAGTTTGAGAAGTACTAATAAAATAATGTTGGGAGGCAGGAAACAATTTAATGTTAACTACTGATGATTTTGATTATATAATATTTATTTCTCCAAGGACAATTGTTAGTTTTAAATGGTGTTCACCTTGATACCTTAATGCAGCAGTCCCCAACATTTTTGGCAACGGGGACCGGTTTCTCGGAAGACAATTTTTCCACAGACCACTTGCGGGGGATGGTTTTGGGATGATTCAAGTGCATTACAGTTATTGTACACTTTATTTCTATTATTATTACATTGTAATATATAATGAAATAACTATACAACTCACCATGATGCTGACAGGAGGCGGAGCTCAGGCAGTAATGCAAACGATGGGGAGCGGCTGTATATACAGATGAAGCTTCACTTGCTCGATTGCCCGCTGCTCACCTCCTGCTGTGCAGCCCAGTTCCTAACAGGCCACCAGCTGGTACCTGTCCGTGGCCCAGGGGTTGCGGACCCATACCTTAATGGATATCATAATTGATATAAGTATGTTTACATTTTTTAAAGTATATTTGAATTTTTCTTTTGCATTTCACTAATAGGATTCTAACTCAGTTATTCTCACTGAATAAAAAGAAGGGAAGTAACATAAATGATACTGTAGTAGGCATACAGGGGCCCTCCAAAGATGCCTACATCCCAAAATTGTGAATATGCTACCTTACATTGTAAAAGAGACTTTACAGATTTGATTATATTAAGGATTTTGAAATGAGGTGATTATCCTGAATTATCCTCATGGGCCCATTGTAATCACTAGGGTCAGAGGGAGACAAGAAGGTCAGAAGCAGAGGAAGGAGATGGGGCAACAGAAGCAGAGACTGGGTTGATGCAGCCACAAGCAAGGGAAGCTGGCAGTCTCCGGAAACTGGAAGAGGCAAGGAACAGACTCTCCTCTGGTGCCTCCAGAACCAGCCCTGCTGACACCTGGATTTTAGCCCTGTAAGACTCACTTTGGACTTCTGACCTCTAGAAAGGTAAAATAATAAATCTGTTGTTTTAAGCCATAAGTTTGTGGTGATTTGTTATAGCAGCAATGGGAACATAATACAGATGTAGGAATTATATGGAAAATCCATATGAAAATAAACTGTGAATAGCCAAAAGTTTACCTGTCCAGCCTTGGAACCCTGGTAGAAATCACTCCTTGGCCTAGAATGTTCCTCCTCTCCATCCCTAACTGTGAAATCTTACCTGTCCTTGGATGCCAAGCTCTAACATCAACTCTTAACATCAACCCCCAATCTCTCATTCAGAAGAGTTTGTGATTCTATGGCTTCTAACACCAGTACCCTTCTCCACCTGGGACTACAATCGTGACACATCTGTCTCCCTTCCAGCCTTGAAAGCCCCTGGAGGGCAGCTTTTGTTTCACTGCTGAGCTCTGTGTACATGGCTGGTGTTTGGCAAACATGTGTGGGATGGAATTAATCAGGAAAAGCCTTCTGAGGGGAGTGAACTTTGTCCTAGATCTGAAATGAGTAAAGTGGGTGGGTGTTGGAAGATGCCCTGCTCTCAGACGTGCACTCTGCACTTTGTGTGCAAAGAAAATGTGGCTCTTTATTTACTTAGGCTCATCTCATCTTCCCCAGGCCTACCCTCATCCACAATGCTCTGTGTAGTGGTGGTGGGGTGGTTGAAAACTCAAACCTGCCACCAAAGAGCATCTCAATCTATTCTGGTTTGAAGCAGATTTTTAAAGGTTTCCTATCTCTAATTCCTCACCAGGCTGCACAAATGGCATGCCTGGGTGACTGGAGCAGGCCTGGATCCGTAAGAGGTCCCCTAGGTGCTAGATGGCCTCTGCTGTGGAGTGGCCTGCCTAGGCTGGCCCTGACCTCAGTCTGTGTCTGCTGACACTTGTTTCATCTGGTCTTTAGAGGTGTCTATAGCTGAATTTATCCCCACCACTGCCCCGATTGCAAAGTCCTGTACTCTCCCATTATAGCCCTAGGAGACTGTCCAGGTGAATGCTGTTTCCAAAAGGGAACAGAGTATAAGGGAAGCCCCTTTCACACAGGAAGAATCACACCGACACAGCCTCCCTCTTCTGACCCAGGTACTGGGGGCCTTGCTTTCCCCTCATCACCCAGATTTGACCCTGAAAGAAGGTGGCAGTGAGGATGAGGACATTGGTACTTGACCTCTTTGCTAACTTCCCCTCCTATCCTCCTCTTTACACTGGTCAGAAAGGTAGTCTGTCTCTTCTTCGTATATGATGGGGCTGTCCTTATACTGTTTTCTTCTGGAAGCAATATTCACCAGGACCCTTCCCCACAGTCATAACATCAGATAAAAGGCACATAAAGAAAATTGGTTTCACCAGTAGAGGAAGGTCTATCAGAAAATATTTCAAAATTACTATCGTTGTTATAC